TTCAAATCAGAATCCAATGAAATGTACTTCTGAATAAACATGGGTAGTTAGAAACGACTCACGCCGATATGCAGATTTTGTTAGCCAAACAGTGTTTTAAACCCTAGTTAGTCATTTCGTACATTCCGGTGTTGAACTCTTTCTTGGTGTATCTATGACAAATTTGGCTAGGCAAATTGTTCAAATCAACTGGAGCTGATTGACTAAATTGGATGGTGAGTTTTGCGAACGATTAACAGATTCTTCAGTTGAAATAGAATCCACTCATAGACGAATAGTTCTGCAGCTAATGAGCTCTGCCTAAAACGAATGAAATGGTTGTCAGGTGTTTAAACCACTTTGATCTGGTTAGTGAGTGATTTTTAATTGCTAGCAGCGACGCTTTTGGATATTTGATGACACTTTTGTGTTTTTACTGGGCAGTTTCCAAGGGGAACTCTGCAGACGCCATAGATAGAGAATTAAAAGTTTATTTAACTGTAAAAAGCGTAAACAGTGGCCCTGCGATTCATAAATAATTTACAAATTGACCATTCAATAGATCAAAAACATTCTTTACTTTATTAGTTTATCATAATTTTGCAGTACGAGTTTGCATTACAAAAGTGTCTTCTAGTTATACTCGGATTCTTGATTGATCTGATATGCAGGTTTGAAGTCAACTGCTGGAGTAGGCTGATGGTACTCAATGTTGACGATAAAATAACTTAGAAACTATCAGATAGAAAACTGGGATTGATTTAATCTCTTTCAAAGTTGTAACCTGAAATTATTGTGTCACTGCTAGCAGAACAGTTTACGTTTGGAGAAATGACCTTGAGAAAAAATCGATTCCGTTTACATTATCCGTAACTTAGCAACGCTAACAACTATCTGTCTAGGTCAAAGCATGCAAGTTTACCTAACATTTCATTATTATAAAATTCAGGCAGTGAGTTGTGGAATTCGTAACTGGATTACTGACGAAGGTGAGGTGTTTCAGCTGGATAAAAACGAAAAAATATTCGAACATGGCAAGCAAAAGGTCACCAACGAATATTTCTGGTCGTAAAACGAAAGAGTAAGTTTTTGGGTCTTATTATATGAATAGTAGGTTGATTTTCTAGTCGTATGAACATTGTTTTGTAAACCTCATTGTAATTTACATGACAAATATTCAAGTTGTGATAAATGTTCTGAAGATGATCTCTGCGACAACTTCTCTAGCTGTAGCATTGGTTGAAGTGGGTTGGAATCTCATCATGGTCATGGTTACAAAGACAAGCGTAAAATCTGACTGAAGCAGCTTTTTTTACAGACAGATAGAGAATAATTTGTGGACAAAACCATTGATGAAGATAGATTGCTAGTAGAAATATACCAAGGGATTTATATGATAGCTGTTTGGTAAATTGTAAAGGGAGAAAATTTATGATAAAAGTTTGAAGGCAGTTGTTCAAAAGCCATTGACCAAGGTATCGTGGTTGTTAGCAAACTTCAGCAAGGCGTATCTGCCAGAAACCTAGGCCAAACAGCGCATCCTACCAATTATCGCCAATTCACCAAAGTACCACGTCATGTACAGTCTCTTAGTTTGAAACCACACTGTAAAAGTGTTTGATAGAATCTGGTCACCACTTAGGACTAGACAACACGAAGTTCGATACTGTCCAATGACACACCAATGTACAATAAGTTATTCTAAATTCGTGTCTATGGCATAGAGGAAGGATAGATGGACACAACTGACGCTAGCTGATGAACGTCATACACCATGAATGGCTGAAGTTAAAAGATGTGAGTCCTTGAGTTCCAGCTCATTAACTAACTGATAGCTATACAAGCCATGACACCTGAAGTCTCGATTTCACCTTCTTAGGTAAATGACCAATACTTTCTACCATTTAAAAATAATAAAGTAAGAATAAACAACTTGCAAACTATTCTTCCAGACTAGGTGACTAAGATTTTGATAGTTTGAACATTTCTTCTGTTTAAGCTCACTTTGTTTAGAAATTCAAGACAACCGAGGTAAATGACCATCTAGCACTGTATTCCTTCTGAGTCGGCTGATAGATTGATGCACATCGATATGAATTGGCTCTTGATTATTCCTATGCTTAATGTCAGTTAATTGGTGTACAGAGTTGACAGTTTACGCTGTATGAATTAGGACTAAACATATATACATACATTCATCATAAGTTTAACTGACTCTCTGTTGATATGAAACCATGGTAACTGTCATCATATCAGGATGTGCTTGAATCTAACTGTGAGAGCTTAATAGCATATTGCTTTCTATAAAAAGGAGTTTTACTTTCATTTAGCATTGATATATATATATATATATATATTATATATATATATATATATATATATATATATATATATATATATGGTTTTCCTTCTCTACATTTTTCACTTTTTATCCGTCACTATTCTTCATATTAATGATAGATAATGGCTGGTACTGGAATCCAGGATGAGCATTTCGTCCAGTTTGGGACTTGCCAGCTGAATGCACTTGCCTCGCAGTGAGTGAAGTTTTTCCCAATGAGAGACCAACTACTTCAAACACCACTGCGTCATCCACTAGGCCAGTGAATCACTGCGAGACAGGTGCATTCGTCTGAAGAATTCTAAACAGGACGAAACGGGCGTTCTGAATTCCATTGGTAGCTACCATCCGTTACTAATATCGAACTGAAGATAAGGGCAATATCGAGGAATCCGCATTGAAGCTCATTTGCCACTAGTGGCTGTGCTGAATTACCTTTGTTGCATGTGTTGGGTGTGACAGGCATGAATATAGTTTCAGTTATTAACCATCCTTTTTTCCATTTTTTCATACTAGACTTTAAAATGCCAACATTATCGCAATGAACATTGTGTTTTTCATGTCATGCATGTGCTGTTGTTGATGAATCTTTTTACAAATTTTATTATTCTTGTGTCCCTGTGAGTTGACCTCTAGTTAATCGTCGATGTTTATTCAATCTGGTTATAAGTAATCCCGCCGCCGTCCAAATTTTCATTTTACCTTCAATCATCATACTGTATTTTATATGTCATTATTTTTGTCCACTTTCTTTGTCAGATATTTTAACTGGTTTAGTTTCGTTTTAATGAGGTTAATTGGTTTAAATGTGGTTCGAGTATCTTCTCTCCTGAGGTTTCTTTGCATTGAATCAGATGTTTCCTTCTTATAGGGCGATATTACTCTTTTTATGCTCACCTTTATTATCAACTCCAGTTTTTTTCGCATGTTTCCTTCTTCTTCTTGAAATTATCTTTTATAAAACGCTCGGCATAATGATTTCTTAATGATATTTGAATAAAATATTTATTTCCTCTGAATATTCAGTTATGTTGTCAAACTGTGTATTCTATTCGCCAGATCATGTATTAACCATCGTTTTACACCGAATGGATGCGGTGAGTGGTAGTCGAGAGATCCTCCTCAGAGACAGAGTTTTCTATAGATCGTGGTCTTAAAACTGTCATGCACCGTTCTCTGGGTTTTACAGTTTTACATCGGTGGTTCACCCAATTCAATTTGTATTTTTATAGTAAACTTTATCGAGTCTACATGGCTGTTTATATGTGCATGGAGACTGTCGATATCCATTTTCTGTGTTATGATGAATGTGCCATCCCAATGTTCCCACCAACTTTTGATTGAGGACATGTATGATTTTAGGGCATTTTCTTCCGAAAATCCATAAATGTACCGGGAATTATTGACCAGGCGGGTGACCCTATAGGTATCCCTTCGTTTTGTTGGTATAACTTTGCTTCAAATATGAAATAAGTTGTTGTTGTTGACCAGAATTCTAGACAAATAACCATGTTAATTCTTTTAGACCATCATGCTTGTCTAACTTTGTCTTGATTAACATAATGGACTTTCATCATTCACCATGAATATTTACACACAGATTCAGACTGAAAATTTGAATGATTTACTGAGGGTTTTCCTCTTTCGAAATAAATGATTAATTTAGTGATTAAAAGGAATGGAAAGTTGTTTCATTTGAGTAAAGTACATGAAAACATTGCTCATCTTCGATTCCTTATGAGATTGAAAATGCAAACTCATCAATGCAATGAGACACTAACTAAGAAATCCAATGGTCTGACCGTCAAAGCAGCTGTCACTTCCTTAATGTTCAACAATGACTGATATCTGCTGATCAACACGGTCACTTGGTTACATGCACGACACTATGATGAGGTGCCAGGTTTTGGGTGTTGATTAACAGGAAGGTGTGTCTGACCTAGGTTTCTTACTTACTCATACTCATCAGAAAACCTTGAGAAAACTTACTTTCTATTACTGATTCGAATTCGTACCATGCGTTGCTGAAGTAATAGGATTGAGCTAATCAGGTCACAGTAGATGTAGTGTAAAATTGGATGGTTGTGCACATAAGTTACTAAGCAAATGGAAACCATTGGATGTGTCAGGTTTTAAGGGCTGATTAGTGTAAATTACCATCATCTACCGACTGGTGACTGGATTCATGACAGCCGAGTTTTCATAATATGTAGTGTGATGCAAGCAAGTAAAAGTCATAGGTACTTATGGATGCTCACGAAGAATAATAAACCATTTCCACACAGTTGCCCAAACTGAAGAACATTCATCGACTGCAATTTACTCGGTAGTGGCTAGTAGAAGAATTCAGGACGCGGGCTTCTTTCTATTTGGGACGCGTCAGATGGATGTGCCTGCGTCTCAGTGAGTGGTGTTGTTCCCACTGGGACTCGAACCTCGTATCCATTGCTTCAAACGCCAAGGCGTTATTCATTGAGCCACTGAAGGACGATAGCTATCTCTTGTACAGTGGGTATTAGTTATAGCTTTTTGTTGATGTACTTGTAATTCTCCATTGTTTTACTGGATCGAATAGTTCAACCTTTGTTGGCACATAGGCTCCTATGTGGATGCTCAGTATTACCTGAATATTTATTACGGTAATTTACTTGGTCGTGGATAGCAGAAGAATCCATCACGTTTGTTTTGACTGGTTGGGAGAAGTGTAGTAAGTGCGAGTGATGACAATGGGCTGAAACCATCATCATACAACTTTGAAACTCATAAGTCTGCCACAGTAAACTCAGTTATATTTTATTAGCATACGTAAAAAGGTGAGGACTCGTTCTTATAATAATAGACTCGGCTTACTGTAGCACAATATAATTCCATCGTAGTTTGTTTAGTGGACGCGTAGTACACATTTCGAGAGCATACTCATAATTCATATCGAGGTGATCATACAACTTTCTGGTCTAGGTTTTATAGTTCTATTGTTTTCCATTCTTTGACTTAATGGGTAATAAAATTTTCCACATATTCCGAATTGGTGTTGGGTCATCCCTATTACACCTGTCAGATGTCGAGTCAATAAAAGTAGCTTCAGATAACAGTTTGTTTCTACACCTGTCCAAGTTATTTTCCCTTGCATTGTCACTATATCCTTCATCATTGTATGGTTGTGTGTGACAGCATACATGTATATGGCTGAGCTCTTTTGTATATATATATTTCTATCTCACCAAGGTCTGTCACTGCATATTTTGCCAAATTGTTATGTTCTGCTAAACTAAATGACTGCAGTTGACCCGGACCGACCTCACAATTATTGCACAGAATTTGGACGACCAAAGGTTCTGTTTTATTGGTTCGATGAGATTCTTTGACCGACAGAGTTTGTTGCTACCTGAGTTTGTAGGTTTAGACGTCATTATAATTCCGGCCTTACTGAGAATTCCACGTAAGGCTACTTTATACGGTAGGATTAGGAGGGTTTTTATTTCTCATCCTCTTTCCGAATCGACTTATGGGTACAGATAATGAGCAGTAGTACTTCCTTTGTGGGGTAAAATGATAATTAGAATAATACAAGATTTGGAAAATATAGGGGTAATAAGAAGGAATAATGCATTTTCACACCCCCTTAGCATTGAAATGAGATAAAGATTACCAAGAAAGATTTGGGGTAAGGACAAACTGTTTTTGAATGCACAAAGAGGGTTTGAACTTTCGTGTATTTTAATGAACCTAAGTATACGGTCTTGACGACTCTAATTCACATGTGTGCGCGGTGGCATATACATAGGGAGGAGTAATAGCACTAAGAAGTCTTCGGTGGTTCTGATAAATACAAGGGTCAGAAAGATTTTATCCTCCATAGGTAAACGCACTATAGGAACAGGTCACAAAATTAATGTTAAAACAGCTTTCAAAGTTTTATATAGAAACAGTCATGGACGTATTCTGAGATTTGCGGAAGCCATAGAGATACACAAATTTAGACCACCTTTATGTGTACAAAAACAGTTTGTTCTTACGCTACACTTACCTTGATAAACTTTGTTTTCTTACCAAGATTAAGTCAACTATGTCACTTCCTTATAAATGAAATATATTTATAAAATCCCAATGAAGTAGGAAAATAAATTTCTGACGTTTCGTGACTTCGTGGAAATTGCTTCATCCAAGAAAGTAAACACACTGACCACATTATACAGTTTTCATTTCATTCTCTTTCCCACTCAGAGTTACGTTAACATACCAGTCATCTACACCGAGGGAAACAACTGTGCCTTTATGGCCTGAATGGAGTGACCAAGATATCAATAATGAAAAATGGGTAGATATTATCTTGTTACAATTTAACATGTATTGATTTCATTCATCATTGAATTGGTTAGGATTCATCTCAAAAATCCAAGGAGAAGACAAAATCCTCAGCGGTATGTTCAGTGATGTAATGTTGAGTTGTACTTCAATCAAGCAGTTATCATCCAATTACTTTATTGATCCTGAATCGCAGATTCTTTATCCACCACCGATATTGCCGGCAAGCACAAAAAGACCACAGGAATTCATCACTGACAAGGTGGGTCATAGTTGGTTCAGTTTTGCAGACAGATAGTCAGAATTCACCTTATTATATTATTGTGTAGCTGTGACAGTTGTTCAATATAAAACGTTGTTCGCATTTAATGTGACTTTATCGCAGATATTGAGGTACCCGTCATGTTAATCTGGAGATTTATTTAACCAGATAACAGCAACTCAAAACGCTAGACCAGTAGGATGATCATTTTGCTAGTGATTTACAAATTGCATGGTTCAGGTTAAAATTCCTCACAAATAAACAGTTCTTCAACTGCCGTCCAACTGTGGTGTCAACGGCGTTTCCGTTATAAGCTACTCATCCAAGATCATAAGGTATGACTCCTGACACTGTCATGCACCAGCGAGACGTACTACTACTACTACTACTACTGAACACCTTGAACAGTTATAAACCACTCAGGCTGATCTCTAGTATCTCGTCAGCGATATCGGAGTGACCTAGACACTTGACAATCGTTTCGCTAGTTAACCAGGCGAGCCACCTTGTCAGCTGTGGATCCGAACCAGTTCAGTTCATTCAGCTGATCCAGGTGATCTGAACTAATTCAGCTCTATGAGCTGCAAATTCGTACAGTAGGCAATGAGCCGCACCTGTTGCATGAGTCCCAGTGATAATACCTGGCTGCTCAAACTTCCGTAGGTGGAGGGGGCTTGAACTCGTGACCCATTGGCCGAAAGTCAACTGTCCGGGCCAGTGAGCCATAGCTGAGGGTATACCGCTTATCCGCTGGATCCCAAACGAGTAAAACGGTCGTCTGTTGTCTAGATCACTCTGATCAACCTGGTGTCATCTACAGATCAACCTCAGTGGTTTCTAACTACTCAAGTTGTTGAGTTGGAGATTTTGCCAAGAGCTTGGTCAGATAGAAATATACTTGGAAACCAGTATGAAATATGGTTTTAGGCATATTACTCTCTACAACTGTTCATTCGCAAATATTCATTCCTTTCAGTCAACAAGGTTAGATAGAGACTGAAGGAAAACCGTAGTAATTTTTATGATAAGAAGAGATCAGAAGTGTCTTGAAAAGTAAAAAAATAGTCATAAGAGTGTGTAGAAACCGCGAAAACTAAGGTGATTCAATATGAAGCTGTGAAATGTGCAAGAATAATTCATAAGAAAAAAACAATACAATAAAGGGAAGTATGGATAAAATATTTAGGATTATCCTTAATTGGAAATAGCAGAAACACAAACTGAAGAGAGAAAGTTGACTCACAAACCTCTGTAGACAATAGGAATGAACACGCTTCTTTGGTATACATATCTTCGGTTTTTGCAGTTCAAAACGCAAGGAATTGTAGCATTTTCGGTAAACTTTTTATCACTTTTTCAATGATTTTGAACGAGAAACTGGTTATGATGCTAAGGTCAGTATTTCTGACGTAATCATGGTCAGGTGAGACAGTGTTCTGAAACTTGTTTGGAAAGAATGTACATCAAACGACCTATCTACTTGGCACTGCAGAAACAGGTTGACTGCCCAAATGTTGAGGCTAGTCATTTGGGTTGAAAGGAAACAGTAAGTGACTGGAGAAAGCATAAAGTCGTAGGTTATACAGCTGGCAACAATGAAACCATCGAAAAGCAATCTTCGATGCACATTGTCTTTAATATTTCAATGAATGTTTTCTTAATGGCACCTGAGTGACATTATCATACAATAATGAGCCTATTGAGTTGACGACAACTTTACATCAGGGGTGACATCCTACGATTTTTTGCCTATGATAAGAGGGACACTCAGTTACATGTACTACTACTAGGTTGTGAGTTGTATCAACATGGACTTGGTATTTTTCTCGACCAACTTGTGAAATGCTTATCCAAAGGGTTGATAAAGTATGCATTCTGACAGTGGTATGTTTTACATTGATTAGTCATTGAAGGGTAACCAGTTTTACATCATCTAGTCCTAACGGATGACTGAATTCTTTCGATCGCTTTGCAAAGAATCACCAAACTGAGGGATTGACCATTGAGGTGAACTTTTATAGAGGTTGGTTGGTTTGAGGCAGTCATCAGGTGGTTCTACTTTATTTCACTTTCACGCTTGTTGGCAGTCGTCAGCAAGACGTATCTGCAACTTCGAGGGAAGTGACGTAGTCTCAGAGATCGTAACACCAACTGGTTTGGAGTGAAGGTTGAAAATTTAAACTCATGACTATAACTAGCAAGCATTGTCGTTTCAAACTCTTATCAGACTAGCTGCGTGTTGGTATTCTGGAATAAGGCATTAACTAGGATCGATATGATCATATCGAACTGTAGTTAATCGACCAATTTTTCAAGGTAATAACCTCGTATAAATAGTCAGTCCATAAATGTTACTAACGTCCTGGAAGAATTTGAGCACCGAGCCTGACGTTATCACTATATCAGTAAGTTTTAATATAATCCAAGAGTTTTTAGAAAATCAAAACAAGATTTTTTTGATTCCTCTTGTTTTGATTTGATAAATATGCTGGAATTATGTTACCGCTTGTAATTAGTCTTAGTGGGAACAAGATCACTCACTAGGAAGCAGGTAGATCCAAGTGACAAGTACCTAGTAGGATTCCACTGTTAGTCACTATCTGTCATTACCACCAATCCTGAGATTATATTTATAACTTATTTATATAATAGGTAACCTATTTCTGTCTCATTTTTATTCTTGAGCATAACATTTTTTAATGGAGGACGAAAAAGAGTAAGATTTTCCGAAATTTTGCTTGTCTGATGAAGAATAAGGCGATCTAGACCACTTTTGAGATACAAACGTTTGTTCTTGACCAGTGTAAGAACCAGTTATTCTGTCTATGTGCGCAAATTTTATGTCTGGCTCTCATGAGTACTGTCTTTCATGTGTATATATGGTCGCAAACCGGATTTCGGTGTTAAATCGATGACTGAAAGAAAAGTTGAAATCCGCTCAGCAACCTTATACACATTTGTGCAGATGGTAGTGAGCCACACCTGTTTTGTGAGGGAAAACAACACTGCCAGGCTGCCCAAACCCTGAAACGGGACGGTGTTCAAACCCGTGACTCATTAGTCGGAAGTTAACTGCCTAAAGCAATGAGTCACAGTCCCATTGTTGTTGGATTAATATTCGCTGTGTATGTGCTGCGCAACGGTGTTAACATCCGAGGAAGAATCGC